GTGCACGTACAAACGAGAGGGGCGTCGTTTGCACCGAGTTAAAGTATGTACTCGCATTTACGCATTCTCTCGCACCGGCCACGTGCACGCGTAAACGACAATAGTTAACGCATGCACATAAACTATGCAAATGATCTTTCTAGATGCAATCTATGCAGATAACGCGAAATCTATGTAAACATTGCCATAATAGCTGTAACTACTCGTACCTTTTTTTTTTTACGTATGCAAAACAATCGTCCAAACGGAATAAAGCTATTAAAGCGCTTTCTCTCTCCCTCTCTCTCTTTCTCTCTCTCTCTTTTCATCTGAATTCGTCTGAACATTATGTTTCCCGAATGTTACATTTACTGAATCGTTGTATCAATAACACAAATTATTACAATGCTTAATACATTGAGTGGAATATTTAATACACGATAAAAATATTAAGTACGAGTATTTTACAGCGTATTTTATGCTAAAATTAAAAGTTCATTTCGCATTTGCATCAATTGCATTTGTTCATATCTTTGGCGAAATAAATTCGTACGTCAGAGATTTTCTGATTGAAGTTCGAGATAATAGATTTCCATTTGGCATCGAGTGGCATACAAAATTCTGAAAGGAAACTGATAAGGGTTAACCCTCGAATATAGAGTAAAGAATATTTTTCTCGCGTTAAACTCGCGTAGAAAATACTGGAAATGTTTCACTAGGGATTTATTGCGTCACTCACGTTTTAATCGCGTCTCCGTTCGCGTCTTCGATCGAGCTCGCCGGCGCGCATGGCGGTACGATGAGCTCGACAACAAACGAGCTTTAAGAGGAGACCATGGCTCGCCCGGCGGTGTTCGTGTCGGGTGTGGGTGGTAAAACCGTCAGGTCGCGAAGGGTCACAGAGCAATGGAATCGCAAACGAGCGGTAAGAGAGAGAGAAAGGGAGGCATAGAGAGGGGCACGAGAGCGAGACGGAGAATGCAACAGGAACACAAAGAACGAACGAGGCGGACGGAGAGAAAGAAGGAAAAGAGACAGTAATTTTTTCCTGCGCTCGATTCTTCGTCTTTTATTTCCCACGAATGACAGCGTTTTATTTGCGACGTACGACACAAGCTAACGATGATGCATGCGCGAGAGACAAACGAGCGCGATAAAGACCTCAATAAACGAAACGTCGTATAGCGTTGCTCTGATAAAGGAATGAAAAAAAAAAAAAAAATAATCCAATTAGCCGTCATATCATTAACGTTGCATAATGTGGCACTTGGTGAAATTTTATTCGAAGACTTCATAAAAGAGTCCTGCTTATTCGATCGTCGAACCTTTCAGCAGCATGGATTATCCGTACGCAAAGTTATCCACGTGCGCAAATTTCACGTTATCATAACTAATTTGGCATACAATAGAGAGAGAGAGAGAGAGGGAGAGAGAATGTATGTATACCTTGTGATTATCATATCAAGGGAATCAAGAGAAGATAACCGAGACTAAGGAGAGAAACTGCAGTACAGCGGAGAAGTATCGTTTACCCGCATAGACCTTTCCGTTTCCCTACTTTGCCTAAATGACGGCGTCTTCTCATCTCACGGCGCACTCTCGTTGTAGCGCTGATACCGCCGCGAGTTCTCCGCCCTCGAGATATTAACGATGCCGAGAGGTCGACGTCGACGTCAAGACGAGGGAAGCGGCGGTGACGGCGGCGGCAATGGTGGTATGGATGTGGGACGGGTATATATCGCAAGCCCCGGATATGGTAGCTTCAAACGAAAACTCTGCCGCGTCCAACGAGTTTGTATCGAGCGTAGGAGGTAAAAGCACCACGGGGTTGTGGAGAGAGAGGGATATATAGAGACGGACAGAGAGACCGCGGATAAAGGTAGAACGTGAAAGAGAAGGCGAATGAAGCTTCGAATGAAACAGGACGTAGGGTGGATCGACGAGCGCGAACGAGAGATAGCCAAAAAGAAAGAGCGAGAAAGAAAGGGGGAGGAGAGAGGAAGCGAAGAGAACGTGATAGCGCGAAAAGAGAGCAAGAAAGAGAGACAGAGAGAGGAGCTTCTCGTAGCGCGCGCGATGCTGCTGTTGCTGCAGAACGAGGCAGGGACGAGGGAAACGAGGAACGCGAGAGGGGTGGGGAAACTGCCGCAGACCGAGGTCTGCCCGTGGTAGGCGAGGTGAGGTGGCAATCAATAAATATACAGAACCGGCGAAGAGTGAGGGAGACAGAGGGTGGCCGAGCGACTGAGCAAGCGAGTAAGCAAGCGAACGAACGAGCGGCGACCGACCGAGAGTGAGAGAACGATGGGAAAGAGAGAGAAACGCCTCGCCAGTTGCGTCTGTCCGATCGTTCGTTCGTTCGTTCGTTCGCTCGTTCATTCGTTCGTTCGTTCGTTCTTGCGTCCCCAAAGCCCTACGGACCTAAACCCGGAGTGAGAAAGGAGAAAAACCAACTGGCGTGACGGAGAGGATCGAGCGAGATAGCGCGGGCGAAAAAAGTCGCCGGCGAAGACGGAGACGGATGACAGCGATGGACAGGAAACTCGGGTAGCGCGCGGAGAAAGGAGAGAGAAGAGCAAGACAGAAAATGCATCGGAGGGCAACTTGGGAGAGAGAGAGAGAGAGAGAGAGAGAGAGATCCCGCCCGAAGAATGAGAGGAGAGGGCGGCTCGATGGCGGTCCAGGAAATACGAAGAGGGACGACATGGGTCGAAGGTGAAGGGACGAAATAAACGACGAGGTCCCGTCTCCGTTGAGAGTGACGGAGATCCTACCCAGCGAGGAAATAAGAGAGGCTTTCGGAGTGAAATCGAAACGAGCTGAGAAATGAGCGCAGAATGCACTTCGGGTTGCATTAACGATCTGTTTTGTACTCGCGTACAGAAAATGCACGTGACTTACCGGATAAATAAATACATATCTTTTTTGTGTAAACTGTTAGATTAATTTTTCATATTTGTTATTAAAGTGCAATTATCACCTCTTACTTATTTCATACCACACGGAGAAATCTGTTCGATAACTCTTTATTATAAATCTATCATTCTATAATTTTCAAATTTGGAGCGTTGTCTTTTTTCATTAATTTGTATTTTTTTCTCACACGTAAAGTGTGATTAATTTCCAATAATAATTGAGCGATACTTTAAACTGTAGATGCTTTAAAATGAGATAAATAAGAAATATAATTCCAACAATTATAAAAATATAAAAAAAAAAGATACAAGCGTCGAAATTTCAAACTAAATAAGCTTTTACGAAAAATTATTAATATTTTTTAATTTTATGAAAAACCATTGAAGAATCATCGAGATCTCAATTTGCCAACCGATTCTACTTTTCATAGCTGAATATGGTTCTCACTTAGGTGAATGTGAAAAAGTTTAGGGCAATGTATCTAGAAGTAGCACTCGGAACGAGTCTGGACGACGAGCGCGAGTTCTCTCCTTTGTCGCGAGGAATCGGTCGAGGATCAACGGAAGGAGCCTCGATAACCTTGGAAGGAGAGAAAGGCTGGGTAGGATGTGCGCGCGCGGGACTAATTGATTTCGAGACGGAGTGGAGGAGAGAGAGAGAGAGAGAGAGAGGGGGGGGGGGGGGGGGGGGGGGGGGGGGAGAGAGAGAGGCTCTTCGCTCGTTAAGGCAGCACTGATATATATCGCGTTGACGCGCGAGACCGTATTGGGGCCCATTTTGCATCACGCATCCGGCTTTCGAACGACCCTGTAAATCCACGGCAAGTGCAACGGCGTCGTAACGGTGCGGTACAGGGAGAATAATTTTAGATCGTGAAATTATTTTACTCGATCTTCGATTTCATTAGACAGCTTATTATCTAAAATCTTTGGAATGGAATCTAACTCTAAAAAGTGAGAAAAAGTGAGCCAGTGTTGTAAAAGAGACTCAATTGTCAATTTTTAAGAGTGAGATTTCGCTCCACAAAGATTTTAGAGGGTAGCTACAAGTATTATTATCTCATTATTGATTGAGAAAATAGAATATATCTAAAATAGATGAAAAAATTCAGTTGTAAGTTTTATCAATAAAATGTACGTAAAGATAAGCAAGAAAGAATATCAATATTATGATAAAAGTTCTTTCAGAAAAAGAAAACAATATATATATATAAGAACTCGTAAGAAAGATACGATTGTAAGGCATAAAAGATTCGTGTGTATATATGGGAAAAAAGAAAGTTTGTCTATCATTTTTTGAATTGCACTTTTCAATTTGTCAGTTTATGTACTTACAACCCTATTATACGGAACCGACTATCCGTCGCGGAAACGTGCTTTGACGACCGAAATCGGAATCGTCAGGAGTAAACTTCCTCCTGGACAAGCACTATAATTCACGCCGACAAACATGCCATCGGAATTCGCACGCATAACCCCTTCGAAATACCGAACACACGCATCCGCAAACTGTCAGTTACACGGAAAATATTTGCCCGTATTGTCTAAACAATATCGCGTACGATTGCGTACGGATCAAATAGAACCACCCCGGCGCCGGTTAAATTAGAAAAACAAAGGGAAAAGGTATCATTGGATCCAGAGGTAAAGCGGAATGATTTGTTACGAGATGCAAACGAGATCATTAGTTAATGAACAAACGTCATTGTTGCACCGCCGGTACAAAATCACTCGCCTCATTGTCCGTTCGTTCGCGAATTTGTTATCTCGGACATTATGCTATTTTCGCCGATCTCCCCGGCTGTAATTAACTGTCAGACGAAGTTATACCGTAAGATATAACCGATTACAATGTAGATGTTGGATATTCTACAGATAAGAACTATCCTGCCCGCTGAAGAAATCCCGACCATTAGAGCGCGGAGAATGCTCTTCCTATTATCGGACTTCTTTCCTCGATCTACCATCGCCGCTTCGCATAACGATGCCGCTTATCGCGACGTAGCGCGTCCGCACGTAGTTTTACGGTTTGGAACGAGCGGGAAAGGGAGAAACGTGAGAGAAATTCAAAAAAAGGAGGCAGTGGAACGAGCGAAAATGACTTACCGCCGAAGAGTGCAGTAGGATCGAGCAACGGATTGGCCTGGTCCGCCTGGAGTTTCTCGGAGGTGGAGGTGGCGCCCGGAGTCGCCGCCGCCGCTTCAGCTCCGCCACCTCCGCCGCCTCCACCGCCCCCGCCTGATGCGGAGTTCTCCTTCTCCATGCCAGTCCCCTGAAACATCGCACATCCACCCATGGTTTCGTTAGACAAGTTCGCTCTCACGCGCAACGCGCGAATCCCGCGATGCCGCATCGCCAAGGACTCCGCGCTGTTCTTGGCTGTTCTTTACCTCGAAAAATCCCCCGACGAGGGGGAGGAGACAGAACAGGTTTCGCGCCGCGCACGATATTTACGACGAACTTGCAGCTTGTAGTGCGTCGAGATTTCGGTACGCGAATTTTTGACGAGGCGTGAAGCTCCGACGACACGGCGGATTATTGTTTGAGAAGAAAAAGCGACGAAAGCGTTTTATCGGTCGACATAGAGGAAAGGATTAAAAAAAATTTGTTTACTCAATAAATATGCATGATTTCCGAGGTGTAATCAAAATGTCTTTGCCAGAGACATTTTTCACTTTCTTAACGCATTACGAAATAAACGTATTATAACGATATCGTAACGCTTCATAAAAAATCGTTATTAAATTAATTTAATTTAATGTATGTATTAAATACAGGATTATAGCTACATCAATAATTCGATAACATAAAATCGATTACTCTTCTATTAAATTTTAATTCCACATCGTATTATAATTTACAATCGTAACCCACATGATCATTTAAAAAAGAATCAAATTTTTGTAAATGATTGTATTGATGCAAATCATCGAATTAGAAAGCTTCTACTATCTCATTTTTCTATATAATTTCCTGTATGTACAATAGCCAATGCAGAACCGCCTCGGATCGGAGGTATTCGAAATTCCTCCGCGTAATTGCGACAATTAAGCAGATCATCGTGGAAAACATTTGCGCTCCTCGTGAAATATTTCTCGATGAAAATATAAAAAAAAAAAACAAATCGCATTCATACATTACACTCCGAGTACTCACACACTCGCACACGCACACGAGCGCAGCTCGCACGTATTTGCATTCGACGACTGTTTACCAGTCGAAGAAAGGCTTCCTCCAGCGGCGCTTTAAATAAAGGTCGTTCTCCCCTCCATCTTTTCCCCTCCAGCGCTTCAATCAGCTGACTGGCGCACTCCCCTCCCTCCGCCGCCCAGCTGTTGTATAAATATACATCGTTACAACGTTGAGTTAGGTTAGGCTGATGCTAGGCTAGACGATGCACCGGCGGCGACGGCGGCGACGGCGCTATTATCATACAGTATAGTTATCATACGTACGAGTCCTCGATAGATAGTGAATCGGATTAACGTCGTCGCCATTACGTTAATTAACTTCCTTGAGTGAAGCGATTTTTCATCTTTCATATCTTTTTCGGTCTTCCTCCGGAAATCATTTCAAGCTTCAACTATTCGTGGCGTTTCGCTGATATTTGTATATCGAATGCTCGTATCAAGTATGTGTCTACGTGGGAAATTATCTTTCTCTGTTTCTCTCTTTCTTTTTCTTTATCTTTAAGTCTTTCGAAAAGCGTCATTTCAAAAAGCGCGAGTGCATCGTTCATGTGATAAACGGATTCTCAATTCGAATGGAATGTTGAAACAGCTTTTACTACCGTTATTAACTCGTTTAATTCTTAAATATATAGCTGTGCACACGCCGCGAGCGAGCTGTTTCAATGCATTTTCCCGTCGCTATTCATGCGAGCGGAATGCGCTTTCAAACGCAAAAGAATCCGCGCTCGACGAATTCATTCTAATTCTATTAAAAATGGAATTTCCACGCTGGAGAAAATGTATACAAACATATTAACAAAACACAAACAAAGAATATTTACGTTCACACGAAATTCACAGAAGAGCCTGTGTTCGTTAAAATTTACACGTGCGACACGTAATCGATTATTTTCCAGCGGAATGTATTATTCATTGTAACGATAGAGAAGAATTCTAATGCATACCTACTTCCTTTCTACACATTATCATGTTACAATCGGAATAAACTTGATAAGGAAAATTCACCGTGGTCTGGTATACACAATAGCCTTCATTCGACTACGAGTCGTCACGCGATCGTTATCGGCGACGTATTGATTCAAGTTGGCCCCTTGTTCTTATCAGGTTCGTACACGGTCTTGTTGGAGAATCTCGCAAAGCATTCAGGATTTCTAGGGTCGCGTGGTGATCGATCCGTTGAATGATGGCGAAAGTAACGTATAAATAATTCTGCGTCTTTATCCTCGTTAATCTAATGGATGAAGATGGATAAAGAAAGCACTTAAGTATTGAATGATAGTAGTGCTAAGGCAGAAGAAAGAAAGAAAGATAATCCGATTTAAATATTTCAAAGACATTTCTAATGTGTGCGTCTACATTTTCCGTGTATCTTTTTACGGTGGCTTCCTTTTACTTTTATAAGAGGATCATCATAAAATGCCTCTTCTATATTTAACCTAGACATTTAAGATATGTGATGCTCATAACAGATTAAAAAAAAAAAGATTAGACTGTAATTAATATATACAGTCTAAAATCATGTTCTTTCTCATTTATCAGCGATCTCTTTAATACATCATCTTTAAAATGTTATATAGTATTATTTTTTTATTAAAAATTTGATTTTTGATATAACGAAATAAATCTATTTATATATACAAACATACAAGATTATATAAACTTTAAATTTTTAATAATTATTATACAAAATATTATTCGTAATTATCGAAACAATATTTCGATATCCATGGAATTTGCACGATTATTTTGCATCACAAGCAGTTGACAAAGAAACTCTTACAATGGCTTTTATTGCGCTCTCAGATTCGTGAATGGTGATGTCGTGCGAAACCTCTCGTTTGTAATTGACAAAAGAAGCCGCGTAAAAGCTCTTTGCCGCCGGAAATTATCCTCCGAATAACTGTGACAGAAAAGCATCCTTTCAATATCTCCGACTATTATTGCCGCTCCTTTGCTTGTTGATAAACTAAAAGTGAAAAATTGCAGACTAATTAACGAAACTTCCGAGTTTCGTATTACAATAGCTTCAATATCAAAATTTCAATAACTTTACTTCTGCAAAACTTGTACATTATTTTCCAATATTTTACGATACGTATACTATTTGCATTTCGAACATTACACTTTTATCATATCTAAAAGGATCAATTTCTTTCATCGCATAAATACAATAGAATCAATATTTTTCCTGGCTTTTATTTTAAAATTAGAAACAAAATTTAACAATGTGACAGAAGTGTGATTTCTTGTTATTGATCAATATATTCAAATTCTAAAAACAAAAATGTCACGATAGATGATTATTGACGTAATATCAATCCTTTAATATGACGAAATTTTCCTATCATCTCATTTCCAATTAAAGTTTTCGTTTTAATAATAAAATCACAATTTATCGCGTAATAATTCTATTTTTAAATAGAATAACATATTAATTTAAAAAATTGAAAATTCGAGATATGATTACAATTTAAGCGTTGCTGTAGTTTATTATATCCGGACGACATCAAAACTTTTTAATAGCGAAAGGAAAGAGAGAGTGATATACAATTGAATCAAATACTTTAGTTTACACGAATTTTCCTTTCCGCGTAACTTCGATAATTTTTATAATTTTTGAACTCGCGTAGCATGCGCACGATGTTGAAATATATTAAAATCTAGTTGAAATTATCACCTATATCCAACGAACGTATAATTAGAAGCATCTCCCGGGCGAGCTAAATAACGTGGTGTAACCAAGCCTGCAATTATTGCTGCAGCAACGGCTTAACCAATCTTTTCAGAAGAGTTTCTTTTCTATGTATGTACATCACGCACAACTTGCATATAGAGATGCTTATAACTAAACACATTTTTTTATTCCTTCGAGTATTACGAGTACATATTCAACTTTTATCAATATTATTCGATATAATCGAGGGAATTTATCATCATAAAGAAAAATTTTTCTTTATGACAATAAATTAATAAAATAAATCCGTTATAAATATTAGAATAAAAATGTGCAGAGTATTTTTACTCGTAAATTTCTTTTAAAATAATGTTTTCCTATTAGATATCGATTCTCAATTAATAAAGAGAAAATCTGAACTTTGTTAATGTCATCTAATAATTATCGGAATACAAATTATCGCGATCTAAAATAATACGTGTAACAAAAATAAAAGAGTCAATGCGCGCGGATAATATCGAGGTATCGTAAAGATATCTATTCGAGATTCGAGATTCGACATCGTCGTCGTCATCCGTACGGTGTTCGGAATATCCGGGCGAGCTCGCGACGCCACCCGGTTTTCAGCTATAGCGGGCATACTTCGAGATGCTCGTAAATTGGTGAGGAAGAGAAGGGCGAGGAACGAGGGCGAAGGGAGGTGCGCGAGAAGAGAGGTGGACGCCTTAAGGCAAGGGAACGTGGGGGCGGCGAACGAACCGAGAGCAAAAGGAAGACACGGACGACCATCGATTTCTCGACCGGTATTACGCTCCTTTCCTTCGGCCGGGAAAAGCTCGGGTGCCAGGCTGGAACACGGTCGTTGTCGTGGTAGAGAAAAGAGCCCGGTGACGAGGAAGAAAACGCGCCGTTTGTTCGCGAAATGCGACGCCCTTGCGCCGACAATGCGCGTTCGACTTCAACTTATTGCGTTTATTCTTGCGCTTCCTCCGCTTTCCTCCGCTTTCCTCCGCGCTTCGGATATCTCGACCTTATTATTAATCCGTGAATATCTCGCATCGGCTTAAATTGAGATAGCGAATAAATCAGTTTATTCAGAAAGCACGTTACCTCAACATTTTTTTTTTATTTTTCACGAAAAAGAGCATTTGGGAGAAAAAGCAGCATGGTATCATTAATCCTCGATTACAGCAGTGGATATCATTTAGAAGCGAAATTTTTAGACGGTTGTACAATTGGTACAATTGGTATTATGAAGTTACTGCAGGTAAAAAAAACTTTGAGCCTTCCTCTGTCAATCGCCATAAGGCAGAGGTTCATTTGCATTCAGTACTTCAAAGAAAACGATTAAGTGCAGTTTTCATAGCTGTAGTTGAAGGTTAATAAAAAATTCTACCCGACTGCTAATGCAGCCTAATGATATATTCGCATGTGTTCATTCTTATTAATAATGTAATGCAGGATGTGGTATCTGTGTCTAATGTTTTCCTATTTCGCCACATCAGAGAGATAGAAAAATGCGTGAGATTATACGATAACCATGCTCTTCGAAGCAAAGCTAGGTATGATTACTATATATACCGGCAATCTCTCTCTCTCTCTCTCTCGTAGTCAACTACAGCTTAATAAACTTTGGCTTAATATTTTTACGTAAACCCATTTCTGTATTCACGACAACGCTGGAGGGGAGATATATAATTACGAGCGTTGCATCGATGTCACTGTGCCGCATCAGATAATACTTCCATATACGTTAATTATACCCGATTCCATTCCCCTGTGCTCGAAGGAAAAACATACAGCCACGCGGACCTTGCAACATGAATGTTTCATCCTGAAGCGAGCGTATCATCGTTATGTCGTAACAGTAATTAGCGAATTTAAATAGAACGCCAATTTGCAACAAGTCCATCGCTATCCCGTAAATTGTTAATTGCCGTAATGAAACCAGATGTACGTGAATATAATAATATTTGACGAACCAGAATGTTCGCTTCGAAAAGCTCACCAGGGAGATAAACGCGAAACAATAAAGTGAAACGCATAAAACCATGATACATAAAATTGCAAGTTGATGTGTATAAAACGTAATAGCGCGATTCTAATAGCTCGGTAGGATGTGGATAACATTGTAATTAATACAACATTGAGAAGATCGATGCGAACCGTGAAAACAGTGAAATTTCAAATTTGACGAAGGCACATTTGAAATCGAAACAGCTCGATAATTAGTAAACAGATTCGGTAAAACGCGACGATATCCTCGACTCGTCTGGACAACTGCAACGTTGCGATCAGTTTGCGAGACAGAGCACGCAAGCCTTTAGTCTCGTCACGAAGAGTGGCTCTCGTCCGCTCGCTCGTCTCGCTCGCGCAGCTTAGTTTCTCATTCAATGAATCCTTACATGGAACACGTCGCCGAGAACGGCGGACATTACGCGCGTTCTCCGTCCTCTCCCCGACCGTTCGTGCCGCAGCAGATGGCACTCCTATCTGCGTCAATTACAGGCGGACTCTTCTCTCGTCGGGGCGTTTCGAGGGAAGAGATACGTGGCGCAACGAGGACCTCGGATCTTGATGGTTTCGCAGAGAGCGAACCGACATTACGGGCGGCCACGTTGGTGTGCGGGCGGCAGGGATCGCGGGATAGGAGTGAGTAGAGATGAGAGAGAGAGAGAGAGAGAGAGAGAGAGAGAGAGGCAAGAGATGGCGGAGGTGGAGGAGCAGCACAGCAATCAATACAGAGCCAGCAGAGCAAAACCATCCCTCGACTACTCTGTGTGTCGCTCTCGCTCTCAATCTCTCTCTCTCTCTCTCGAACAACCGCCGATATTTCTCTCCCTTTCTCTATTGGGCACCACCGGAGTAGTTTCTCTCTCTCTTTCTCTCTCCCACCTTCGGTCTATCTCTCTCAAATCGGAGCGCAAATACAACGGTTGCACGAACGCGCTACAGCGCCGTTAACGGGGACTTCCCCACGCGTCCGCCAAATACACACGCAGATGCACATGCACATCCGTGCACCAATACGAGAGCGCGCGTACGCAACGAGGCGACCGGGCGTCATGCTAGCGTACATACGTCGCATCGGCTGCAATTATAGCGGCGATGCTCGTAGCGCGTAACATGAGAAACAAGAAACGTGGCGTGCGAGCGAGCGAGCGAGCGAGCACGAACACGAGAAGGTGTTCCTCCCAACCAAGCGCGCATACTTTTTCCGCGAACTCGGCTATGCCGTGGGGAAAACGCAGAGATACGCGGAAGCTGTAATAAGCGAATTATGTGGGAGTATTCGCGACGGCGATCGATACGAAGAAATGCGCCGGGCCGAGCGCCCGTAATCCCTTTCGAGAATGCCGCGACGCCCACGATGGAAATCGCCGCCGCCGCCCTCATTCGCGGTGAATCGAATTCAAATCGATTGCGGAATGAAGTCATATTAACGCTCAAACAGCACTTTATTCAGCGAATAAATGCAGACCCGATCGGACTGTAGCAGAGAGCTGTGGGCGAGCTGGAGAAACTCTCGAGCTGAACGAAATGCTCGAAATATCGCAAGACGATTATTAAACATTTTTATTCAATAATGAAATCCATTGAAATACAATGATAGAAATTAATGTTTAATAAAACGTAATGACCTTACATATCCGTAATAATCCGTATGTTATGAAAAAATAATATCTTAAAACTTTTCATTTGATTTATAAACTTAAAAAGAATATGAAGAGTACTTTATAGAATGGAGTTTGCATTCTCTCTCTCTCTCTCTCTCTCTTCTGTTCCAATCTTTCTCTCTTTCTCCTCTCCTCTCTCATTCTTTTTGTTTTTGTTATGACACGTGTTTGATGCATTTTATACGGTGTTCTATAGTCATATAGGAAGTTCGAAGAAGTGCTATTTTATGAAACATTTAAAAAAAGTTTAATATGACACATGGCACACACACATACACGCACGCACGCACATATATATGTACACAAAGTTCCTACATAACGCTTGCGATGAAAAAATAGAAAATCCGATAGTGAAATATTAATGCAACCCGTATTCTTGACGCATCTACCGATCGTTACGTAGAGAAAAAGATCAATGATCGGACACATCGAAACGCTCGTGTACGTACGCTTACGAAAATTGCCGCTGGCTATTCGACTTTCTCCTACCTCACGATGGAAGAAGACGCGATTAATGAGACGCGATTAATGAGACACGAGAGCGCCACGATTAATATAATCGTAATTGTCGAACGTAAATTACAGGATGAAGGAAGCGAGAGCGGCGAGGCAATAAAACCCGGCGATATTAAATTCGCAATTTGGGAGACATTACATATGCACGGTACGTGCGTACCGGCATCGCTTAACGATCATTTCGCGGCACTCTCGTTATAACGCACGGCACTCGTTCGCCATATACGTGCGCACATACACAAGTATACGAGGTATTCGTGTACTCACGATTAATTACGAAGCTTCAACTCATAGTAGAAGCCGGCTCCGCGAGACTCCACCTCGCACCTGAAACATAGAAATACATCGCATCGTTAATAACAACGTCGAACACTCTAGGTAGATATGTTCTTATATCAACCGGCCAAACGAGGATTATTAAGATGCGAACATGTGTAATCACCAGCGAATAATCTCATCGGTGCGCGTTTTCTCATGAATTGAGGATGGACGCTTCGTTATTGCGCATCCACGCATGAACGATCTGATAGAATCGACAATGGTAAAACAAACTTTCCGCTTTTAGAGCGAGTTACTTCAGTTTTCTCAAATTCACGTGTAATCCATGTTTGTGAATTGACTTTATCGAAATGCAGGGGCCGCAATGATTTCAGAAAAGTTTTGCAAACTTTGTGTGTGTTGTAAAACTAGCAATTATTATAAATGGAAAAAAGAGCTCTCTCTCTCTCTTTGGATTACATTATATGTATAATAATGCGATTAACGGATAATGCTAGTAACTAAATTAATGTTCATGGTTGATACAGATTTATATTTTATATAGATATATAAAAATTCAGTAGTTGAAAACACATTTTGTCAGTTCTAGAAATCTTCATTTGGTGATGTTTATGAATGAAAAGGCGATACTCAAATCGTTCAGAGGATTAATTAAAAATACTGCTAATCGAGATCTATCGAGAGGGAGATAATTTCCTAGAAATGTCAAATGTGTCGAAATCTATCTATGTAAAAATACATATTTATAAATAAATCTAATTACCACTATAAAGATCGTTTCTTCTTTTTATTTACAGATAACGAAATAGCAGTTGATAGTAATGAAATATAAATGAAAACACTCCTCTCTCGATAACGACAGCCTTCGTAACGACAGTCATAATTCAGAGTAGTACGAAATTGAGACTAATTCCGAATCATTCATCATCATTACACATATCGTAACAGTTAACTAGCCGAAAGGTTCGTTGGGAGAGATAAGTGAGTGAATCTGGTATTCGTAACTACGCGCGTGCGCTAGTCGATGCACGAAAACGCATCGTGCATATAAACCGTGGAATCACATCCGCGTATCGGTATTCGCATCCGCCCCTCCTCCGCCCCTCCTCTCTCCTATTCGCTTCGCTATTTCTCTCGCTCTCTCGACTTTTCCCTATCGGCGCAGCAAAGTGATACCACAAACAAGTAAATAGACTGCCGGCTGGAATTGACCAAAGTAATATTTGCCATCGATCGCGTTTGCCGCGGGAAAGGAAACACATGAATGTAGCAAAGCGTTTACATTGGCGTACGCTAATGCATGACCTGCCTCACCGTTGCGAAGTCGCTATTCGGTCGCGCATCCACTCTGCGTTTCGATAGAAATTATGATCGATACGATGGATATCGCAAACGTGTGTATCTAACCGAGACAATCGTATATGGCGGCATTCTCCGCTACGGAGTAACGATACAGCTGTGTCCCTTTAAACACCTAGCATTTCCAGATTTTTACGAATCACTCGCGAAACTTACGTGCAATATCCCATCGTCCGCATGTACTATTTCTGCGATTTCAAAATAACATGGCTTTTATTTTTTTTTTTTAATAAAACAATCATCATCACACATAGATTATTAGCGTTGAGTTCTGGTTTTGTATGATTTCCATCTAATTTTTTTACACGTGCAAAATCTATGATATAACGTACATGATGAACCCTTAAACGCCCCTTTTTGGGAAAAATCCTTGGGTATAACATATCTAATCCAATTCAATTGCTTATAACTTTAATTGCTTATAAAAAAATAAACAATTTTTTTCGAAACGATACCAAGTAAATGTATGTATCTTTATGAATAAAATAGTTGTAAGGAATAGAAAAAGTTGGTGCATCAAACCGAAAAGATGTTTAAAAGTTAATAATAACATTTTTTTTAACAATTGTGAAAAGATAAAACGAATATAGTAATACTGTACGCTCTCGTATTTTTAAGGAAGTTTCTTCTAAAAAAAAATGCGCATGCATTAACATTGATATCGCTCAACAAGTCCACCGGAGAAAATAGGTCTTCGTGAAGTACGAAGTCCACTAACCGCGTTCTGGATACAATCCAAATGTGTGTTGCCCCATAAACCAAATTACCACTCACAATAAGACCTGGAGACGGCAAGACGACGATGTAACATCCTTGCGTAACATAATTATATGAGCAGGATGGTGTTCTCTACAAACTCGAACAAGAAATACCTCGGAATCTCGCAAACTTCACATTCCCGGCTATATTAACTTCCTGCCAAAGTTCTTTCCTCTGTGTTGCTTGTCGATGTACGTAAAATATGCGGAAAATAGTGAAAAAATATATTTGACGCTAAAACAGTAGAAAAAAAACATTACATATTTATGCAATAAAATCTAAATGATATCGCAAACTATTAATTAAAGAATTATAACGTTGTATTTTGTCACATAATCCAAATATATATTTATCTTTAAGTTTATATATATTTATCTTTAAGGCTTACAGTTTAAATATCTATTGTAGAATTGACCTAAGATCTGTTCTACAATAGAATCGTAAGCGATAAGCCTAAGCCGTAAAAAATTGACCAATCATAGTCTATTATTCTTCTCACACTTAACTGTGATTGGTCAATTTCTTACGACTTGCGATCCTTGTAGAATAGACATAAACAAAGTTACGTAAATGTTTATCTACAAATAAATATCGTCTCTACGACTGTACTATATCTTTCCCTCGTGATCGCAGAAAAAGAATCGTTGAGAAAAAAACCACGTCATTAGTGGCAAGAGTTTGCCACTATCTTATATCATTTGCGCGCTTCAACTTTCTCAACACGTCTACGAATAATCAATAATCTGTTGTGCAATTAATTACGTGCACTCTGACACGACCTTTAGTTTTTTCATTATGCGGAAGGTGATTTGCCCTCGGTGACGCGGATTAAAGAGTCCGGGACTCAATGGTTTGCTCGACCTCGACCGATTTTATCAGCCCGGGCATTAATTCATTAATTAACAAGGAAGGCTCTTATCTGCTAGCGTTGATAACAGCCAAAAAGTCTCGACCTAGCACACAGCCGAGCGGGGAGAGGCATCTCTCGCGTATAAACGTGGTGGAAAAGCCACACCGCGATGTTTCAGCGATATCAAGCGCTTCAATTGTATCCATAATTCATGAATAACGTGACGTCCGTCATCCAAACGTCAATCGCGCGTGCACACACACACACACACACACACACACACATACACACACGCATATATATGACGTACGTACGTAACATGCGCGCACTCGCGCGCGCGGATATTTAAATTAGCAGCATCGTTCGCAATAACAATAACTTTTATTGGCAATACCGCGACGCAAAGCGTCAGCATATTAATCTTTTACCGCTCACTTTTGTGCCCCGTAAAAACGGAATTATAAAGTATGAATTGTAAATTATACCGATTTCATTATCGCGTTGTTGCGGTCGTAGATCCGACAACACAATTTACTTCATTTTATCTCAAACGGAAAGAGACGTGACGCGATAAGACATGATCGACTGTATCAATAATGGAAAAAAAAAAGAGATATTACACAATTTTCTATCACACTGCTGTATAATTAAGAACACGCCTTTACGCGCTTCGTCGATGCTCGTCAAAGCGGAACACGATTACACGACCCATACGATTACATACCCATATTTATTTGTGAGTGTATAAGTGTGGAATAATATAATAATTATCTTCAGCAATCGATTATTTCGAACGGTGCATTTTGTTAAATTATAGATCGGTACGCAACGACGAACGGGAACATGAAATAGCCATTTTGCCGCTGTTAACTGTTGATACAGACAGTAGAATACCATCAACCACAACCATTGATTATCGTGGCCATCATGATACATCTTGCCCACAGTTCATTTATTCATGTATAACCAATTGTTATGCCCAAAATGAAGAACCACGAATCTATTCTTGAATATACATACTGAATGCAATCATTATAACCTCGATGGATTAATGCAGAAACACGTATTTCCAACTCCTGTATTTCTAATAATTACGCTAAAGGGAATAATGCAAATTGCAATATGTAACATATGGATTAAGGCAGTAAATAATTTAATAAATATAACCAAACACAGTATCCATTATAAATTCTTTTTTTTTTTTCAAGTCATTTTTCAACTATCCCAAGTCTGTTCCAGGTCCGTGATTTTTCAAGAATCTTACACGCTAATTACGATATATGATTGACGTTAACTTCTACATTGATCTAATCTACCTTAACGATGACTGACGAAAAAAAACCTCGGAAAGAGACAGTGCTCGATGGAGTTCAACGATCCCTTGAGAAAGTGCTTGTAAATTGCGCGAGTTGTAACGAGTCAGCGGGACTGACTGAGTCATCGATATAACTTTACGTACGCACTACTACAGTTTCATTCACAAGCACTACGTTTTTACGCGCTGACGCATACACGCGAACACGCACATATGCCATTGCTATGTAAATATCTATATAAACGTGAATATAGAATATGTCAGACAACTTTATCTTTATCGCTGGTGATGCGCAAGATTTTCTTCAATCGTTTTATAAATTTTGTAATGTAAATAAAAAGTAATAATAGTCCAAAATTCAAAAGCGAGTTGAAAGACATTTATGAGTATATTTTTTTTAATAACATACTGTTACATTAATTCTAAAAATGACCGGGGGAACATTTCTAATCCAATTCTCTCCTCAATATTCATTTTAGTTTGTACTCGAGCTCATCAATTATCGCATTAAAGAAATAACAAATCCAAAGTCAAGATGTCTTCAGTTAACTTCATTTGATAAACACGTTCCAATTGTTTGCGAATTATATCTTATCGCCTTATAAATATGTAATTTACACGCCAATAACCGCGGAGATTTACATACGCGTTTTACTTATAATGAATTTATTCTTGGTAGAGTCACAAATATTATTAAATTAATTTATTGTAATTTATTGAACAATCCTACAGATTGTCCGATGTTTTATTTACAATATATCGCAA